AAAAAAAAAAAAAAAAAAATCAAATAACCTTCTTATCCTTATTTCTTTCCTGATTCGGATCTTCAAACCTTGATCAGCAAAAGACCTTGACAAAAATGTTGACTCTACATTATAGAAAGAATAAAATGGTGAAATAAAAAGCCTCGTGAGTAGAATTTATAATCCATACGATACTTACCTTCCATACCGGGAAATCTTTTTGCAGAATATACGACAAAGACTTCGGAAAATATTGATTTGCAATGAAATACTTCTCGACTATAATCAAGTATAAATATGATATTATAATAATCTCAAAATGCAAAAAAAAAAAAAAAAAAAAAAAAAAAAAAAGGAAAGGAAAAAATTTGGCACTTACGCAACTATTTCAAATAGACTTAGTTTAAGACGATAAGTCCCCTCCATACGCACAGACAAATCAGGAAATACGAAAAACCCCGCATCAGAATTATCGGTATCTTTGAGATGGCATAGAGAAGAAACAACAGATCCAGTTGTGGAACGTGTTTTACCATCGCGAAGTAAGTGCAATTCTTCATTAGTATCAGGAGCTACGAGGGATGCGTACATGAAGAAATAAGGATTCTGAAGAAATGAGCTGTTATACCAAAAAAAGGTTAGAAACAATCCATCACGTGAGGTGACGCGTAAATCCAAGAATTTATTACTTTTTCTCAGATTGCGGTAGACTATCATCGTAAACCTTTAACTGAATTATTGGTGGTGGATCTATAGGACGTCTGTCAGCTAACAAAAATAAAATAAACAATATGAATTTTATTAATATTAATATATTGAAAAGTTCATATTATAGAGTCATGTGATATCAAAGTAAATTATGCAATTCACGTAGCAATAGAATGATCACATATTTTAAAGGATCCACAGCATTACCGAAGGTTGCATGACGTATTCCAGATCCATATTTAGACGCGTATGACAGGAAGCATATAGAGCAATATAATTTATTTAAAATTTATTAAAGCGATAAAATACGAGAATTCTAAGCGAATAATGTTCAATTTGAACTTTCAACTTCTTTAGCAGTAATCGTCGAAGAAGGATTACAATCATATGAAAAGTGGTTTCGTAACACAAATAATAACGAAATTTTCCACATTCGATATTATTCCCAAGAACAATGTTGAGGCTTACCTTTCTCACCAATACCACACATCCTTGACTGCTTTGGTTGTTGCCTGAAAATTAAGTCATATCGACTAGCTTGTCAGAATTGTTAAGTCATGTCAAAAAAAAAAAAAAAAAAAAAAATTATTATTATTAAATATTCGATAAAATATTAGCTAAGAATAACATATCACACACGCATATATGGCAAATGCATGTCGAAGTTTATGACAATCATCACATTAACAATTAAGATTAAACCGATATACGTACATATTCTGCCTATCGTCTCTACGCTGCCGCACCGGTGCAAACTGATAGGATACATTATCATCCATTTGTTTTATCCTTATTAAAGGTTAAAAAGGAAAATTTAAAGGCACGTAAAAAGGTAACAATACTTTTCTTTCAAAAAAACTTAATATATTACAGGTTTGGTTAGAAAGGTATTGTATTATATAGCGTCGTTAAATTTTTGGGTTAAAAGTATTATAAAGTATTAACTTTCTAATTTAAGAGCCAGATAGTTGTTTGGAATTTTTTATCTTTTTTTATTTTAATTTTTTAAACTATATCAACTTGTAAGAATTATCTTTTATTTTTTGGGTTTGAGATTATAGCGGTATCGGAGTACCGTAACAAAAATCAAAAAATGGTTTTTTCTTATATAGTGTATACAGAAAAAGGAGGGTGGTATTTAACGAAGTGAGAGAAAAATTAGTAAACCGGGGAATAGGGTGCAAATCCAAAATCAATTTAAAAGATTTTTAGTGGATTTATACATATATGCAAAATTTTGTTGTTTGTTGGACCGACTCAGAAGAATATTATATAATAATCAGATTATTTGGAAAGGTGTGGTATCAGTGTTATTCTTATTTTTATTTTA